TAACCAGAAGTTAAAGAATACACATCCGGCAATTAAAGAGACCAAATGGAACAGCTGCTGAAATATTCGTCGTCCTCCCTCCGCCGGTATGTTTCTTCAATACGACGCTGTTTCAGTCGTTAGTGTTCTTCGTCGGCTACAAAACACCCAAAATCAAAATGTGCGTTCAACAACTTTCTGAGGCCCAAATAGCTGCAAACCCAACATGCAGTTTTTTAATTATTCCCGCGAGGAACCCAATTATGCAACTAAAACATTTACCATAACTTTTTGTAATACTCCTAAACGCACCCTAATCCTTTTACTTTGATCAGTATCATGATGATGATCTATGCACGTTAAAAAATTGGATGCCTGAAAATACAAAAAAAAAAAACACCAAACACCGAATCAAAACACACAATCTTCTTCCGAAACCAAAATCATACAAATACACACTTTTTTTTTTGATCAACACAAATACACACATTTATACATGCAAAAAGCCAAAAGAAATGCCATTAAACTCAACCATGGGAGTTACATTACGCATATATATATATATATATATAAGGGTTTGAATTAATAAGGTGCATGGTTAACCCTCCGACAGATTCTCCTGATCTCTCCCTCCCCTCCCGTCAACGGAGATATATTCCCCATCTTCACCATCGATTTCGCGAACTGCTCGAAGAAGGCCTCTTCATTCTCCGCATACAGCTTCACCAGCTCCCTCGACTCTTTGTTCTTCGTGAACAGAACCTCGTCGGAGCTCAATAGCCCTTTGTACATTATCAGGTTCTTGAAGTAGTGGTTGTCGAACTTGAAGGGCGTCGCGAAGTCCAGGAAGAAGAGATTTTGGTCACCACCGGATCTTGGACATTGCTTGCGCAACACGGAGGCATAGTATTGGTTTAGGGTTTGATCCGGCTTTCCATTGCCAGACTGGTTGTATAACCTCTGTCTGAAACTTGTACACCTCGAGTTTCCGATGGTGTGACTTCCTGTATATCATAAAAATAATAAAACGTTATATAAGGACTTCTAAATATTACAACGAAATTTTAATCAGCAAAGCTATATATATATTTTTTTCTTTTAATCAGAAAAAAACTAATGTACAGTATCATTTTGCAAGCCCTTCTTACGTCCACATAACACATTAAGAGTGTTTTTCAAAAACAGTTTATGCAACAAAACTTCAAATATAAAAATAAAAGACAAGCAAAATTATATTATTGGGGGTGGGGCCGGGGTTAACAATTTTATTGGGTGGATTAGTATAGGTAAGTTGTTACAAATGTATTATTGTGAAATTAAGATATGGATGGAATGTTGTATACCAGAGAGAGAGACAAGATCAACGAGATTGAGGCCTTGACGCTTGAATTTAGTGAGGATGGTTTGAAATGTATTGTTGGGAGCAGGAATGTCGTTGTTGGAACCACTCAAGCTTGCTCCTCTCGCGTCTCTTCTTCCTAGAGGTACTTCCCAGTGCGGCCCACCTGTCTGTATAAATATGTTATCTCTCGAACTAATTAATTTTAAGGATACTTATAATGATACAAATAATTTGTTTGTTTTAATGAACCGTGGTTACTTACAATGACGGTCGAGTCTCTAGCGGCTATAGCCAAGATATCAGCGCAAGAAACTGTTTCAGGACACTCTTGTTCTAAGGCATGTTTGATTTCTTCGATGAGCTCGAAACCACGGGCTGAGTTTCGGTTAGGGTTTGATCGTTTCTCGCTGATTATGGTTCCGCTGTTGTCCAATAGTATTGAAGCATCACATCCCTGCAGTGTATCAAGATATATACCACAATGAGAAAAATATGTAAAGAATTAATTGGAGTATTTATTCTGTAGCTGGTTAATGTTGACGAATTAGTTGCTAAAGGTTGAGACCTTGACGAAACAATCGTGAAAATGGAGTCTGAGCAAGGAGGCAGGCATGCGAGGATCCTGTGCGAATGCTTTAGCGACAATGGACTTAACGATCTCTTGAGCTTTAGGACATGAGTGGTCGTAGAACTGAGGGAAGAGATAGCCTCCACTTCCGTAGGCTTTGGAACACAAACAAAGAGGAGATAAGGCGATAAGGGAGACAGCTACGATAAGAATGTTCAATGGCACGGCCATTTTTTGAGAATACTTTTTCTTGATGAGTACTCGTTGATTTTTTTTTTTTTTTTTTTTAACAACAAGTACTCGTTGGAATATAACTCGTTTTCTTGTAACTTGATGATTTTCTTGTGATGGAAATGTATAGCATTTATAGAGTACATTGTGGACTTTTGAGAAAGGAGTTGGAGTTGGTAACTAATCTTAGATATTGGATTAGATGGATACATTATTCTTTTAAGGATTGGTATGAATACATGATTTGTTAGACTTTTTTTTTTATATCGCTCATCAATAATGATCACTTTATTTGTGCAACCCATATGATGATGTTACCCTTTTACCTGTGTTCTAGCTTGAGTTTGCATAGGCCGCAGCACCGTGCAAAGCAGACAAGAACAAAAATAATGAGTTTAGTGGTAAATTAATCCAAAAAATAATCGAAATCCCAACCATTCATTTAGTCAATAGTTTTACCAAACATATAAATTGCTCTACGGATTTATGATATTTAAAATCGAGAGATTAACATGAAGAATGACCGAGTAAAACAATTGCGTGTGCATTATAGTTTTTTACTTGGTTGACATTGACGAGATCAACAAAGAAGCCGCAAAGTAGTAATCTTTTGGTGTCTTTCGGATTGGTTGAGTACGACAAAGACAATAATAAACGGTAGATAATGACAAAACCATTGAGAAACAGCTTCAACTGCTCTCCCTCGCTTAAACCAAACAATCTATATTTTTCCTTTTGTTTTCGTGCAACAAAAGCGAACAAATTAACATTACTAAAATATGGCAAACAGCGTTGATGTACGTAGACTTTTCAATATTCTATTTTTCCATATTTGGTCTTTTTATTCAACTTCGAGAATAATACTTTTTCATGCCATTTTTATTTTTTTCGTAACAATTCATGCAATTGTTTACTTGAGTAACTTGATGCTATTTGTTTACATCTGCAAACAAAAGCCCAAAATATTATCAGCCGAAGTTAAGTCGCTTAAGGCCCATCACTCGATTTAAGATTGCGTAGGAAAACGTTGAATAGGAACCCCAACTTCGGACAAAAGCCGTCACGAACTGACGGTCGACAACTCGACATGGAGTTGGTTATACAAACAAATCCTGAGCACACGGAGCTTGTCGTGTGGGAAGATCCTGAGCAAAATCGGAGCTCTCTTACAAAAATAATCGCCAGGGGGTTTAGCTGAAGAAGAAGAAGAAAATAGTTGCAGAGGTTCGCGACTCAGGTGGGTTTGTAAATTAATCGCGAGTGGATTGCATTGGAAAGTAGAAGAAGAAATCGTCTTGTTGAAAGGGTGGAGATTGAAGCCACCAGATTCCTTACTCTGCTCATTGGTGAAGAGACATCGACGATTATCCGAGAAGAAAGAAAGAATACGAAGAGAAGAGTCCACTTTTCCTCAAGTCAATATGCATCTAGAAGAGTCCACTTTTCCTCAAGTCAATATGCATCTGCCACGTATGGGGTTTTTACCTCTTCATGTAGAGGCGGTTCTGCCTGTTTTTTTTCATTTTTCATTTATTTTTTTCCCTTTTTCCATTTAGAACCCCTCAATAAAACCGCCGATGGACATGGTCAGAAACATAACAAGAAAGTAGATAGATATATAGATATTAAAGAACAGAATACTTTACCATACATACATCTCAAGAACATAAAAAGAGCCAAACGATGCCCATAAACACACTCATATAAGCCATTAACACATCGCAGGACGCACACACACACACACCTAAAAGTAAAAGGTCCGGATGCGACTGTGTTACAAACTCTCCTTTATTTTAATTTATATATGCATCCAAAGTTTAACTTGTATAATTGCTTAATGACCACCGCCACCGGGAAGCTTTTCCTTGATCTTTTCCATCATCCCCTTCTTCTCATGGCGTTCACCAGCGTAGCCTCCCTCGTCATAACCGGTGGTAGTTCCCATCCCCATGCCTTGAGATTGACCAGACTGATCATGGTGACCTGGCAACTTCTCCTTAATCTTATCTGTTATTCCCTTCTTCTTCCTCCTCCCACCTTGTCCATCATCCTCCTATCATGATATAAGGATTGTTAATACATATGTGTATACATAAAAAATAAATACGCCACATTTAGGAATGCTTGTATAAATGGGTTAAGGTACCGAGCTAGAGCTGGATCCGGATCCAGAGCGGTGGAGCATTCCTCCTAAGCCACCACCACCACTTTCCTTATGGAGTTGCTCCTGGCCGTGGTGTCTACCTCCTACGCCAGCTCCCAGGGCTCCTGTTCCAGCCCCGTAGCCTTCGCCACCTGTCCCGTAGGTTCCACCAGTGCCGGTTCCTCCGCCGTATCCTCCACCAGTTCCATAACCTCCTCCTCCGGTAGCTCCTCCACGACCAATTGGGTTTCCATACTCGTCAACCTGCTGGATCGGGTTTCCATACTCGTCAGTGGCCTGAGCTCCGGGTCGGTTCTGGTAAGACGCCATCTTCTTCTTCTAAGCAAACACTTTGAGCTAGCTAAAACTGTTTTCTGTTTGATATTATGAGACTTTGATATTGAGTTCTGACTGATTGATGAATGTTCGTAAGGCTCATGGAGGGTACTCTTTATAGGTCCAGTTCCGGATATGGATTAACTACTAGATTAGTGAATCATTATAACTGAAGTCACACGTGGCAGCAGTGGTAAATGTCGGCGTGGTGCTTCCAGACGCGTGTCCGGACGTAGACCGAACCGTTTATTACTTTAATTAAAGAAACGGGATGGATATTTATTTCCGAGCTTTCAAAGTAGAGATCCCGAGTACGTACGTGTTCATAATAATCCCATGACAGACAGGGTGATGGATGGATAATACTAAAGTAGGAAAGATCTCTTCTTTTTCTTCGTGTCGGTACTAGCATTACGTTGTAGATGTAAGACACGTACCCCTTATCCCTTAAACGATGCGTCTTGTCCATTGTTTCCATACAATGACGAAGAAGATTGGGTGTATTCGAAGAAACCTTCTTGTCAGAAATTTGGGCTTACTCTATTATACAAGGCCCTTAAAACCACTTAGTAAGAAGCCCATGGTTGTAAAATGAGGCCCTTTTCTATACACTCCTCCACTTACCAAAATGATGCGTTTCCATTAATCCGTGTTATATACACTCCACTTACCAAAACCAAGCTGTGAAATCGTCTTATTTTTCTGTTTAACGTTATGGGAGTTTCTCTCCTCTCTGCACCAGATTTTGAAAATGGTGGTTTCAAGATCACTACGAAGAAGCTGGAGAACCTTTGTAACAACCCGATCCCCCGGCGTCCGACCAGGGTTCAGCAACCGGGTGTTACGGACACGTGTCTACTCAATTAGACAACCCTACGTGTCCTTACTGGTCCCAGAAGTCGGCGGACGCATCTTTAGTGAAATTCGGTCCACCCATATCCACATACTTCTACATACAGTCCTGCACATAGGGAGAACGGAATGGAGGGATGAGCAATTGGGGTTACTCAGTGAAGTGACTCTAGCTAGCCTGCCCGCATAATTCTCTACACTACCTCATACGGCAACATGACCGACCAGCCACTACATTCAATATGCAACATACAAACCATACTATATGACATCTCAACATGGAATTCTAACACCCTAGCATTCATACACCGCAAGAACTCAGTCATTGCTTCACATGGATTCAGTCACACAAACAATCTATGAACTAGACTCGTCACTCAACTTAGACTTACGGACCTATGGCCGTTTACGGATGTCCCTACACGTTCCGGCCTAACCTGGAAGGGGCGCCCTCTCTCGGGAAATCCGTCCCCCCTACAGCTTCCTAAATGACTATCCGAGTTGCAGCTCGTTGGCTCCCAGCACTGTCTGCCACCTAGGTCTTAATAGCCATGTTTGACTCGATCTTAAGGCACCTATTTCTTATCCCGCAGGTCCCTCCCAGAGGTCTCTTCTGCGTACGCCGTCCTTGCACGGCCACTCACTTCTCGCCCACGGGTACCTCGTGTTAGGCTACTGTCCCGTGGGCCCCCTGCGGGTACCTCGTGTTAGGCTACTGTCCCGCAGGTTACACATCCTAGACTCTAGACGCCCACCCGTTCTCGGTGGTCCAAACAGGACTTCAAGCAAGTTCATTGACACGACTTTATCCTCATACATGTTCTTATCCACTTTCTCATTCTCTTACACGTTCTCATTCACATTCTCTTACACGTTCTCATTCTCATACTTATACACATTCTCATTTTCATACTCATACTCATACTCATACTCATACATACTCATACTCGTATTCATACTCGTACTCATACTCGTACTCATACTCCTACTCATACTCATAGTCATACTCGTACTTATACTCATACTCATAGTCATACTCGTACTCATACTCATAGTCATACTCGTACTCATACTCATACTCCTACTCATACTCATAGTCATACTCGTACTCATACTCATAGTCATACTCGTACTCATACTCATAGTCATACTCGTACTCATACTCATAGTCGTACTCGTACTCATACTCATACTCATACTCATACTCATACTCATACTTCTTATCATTCTCATCCTCATACTTAATTCACCTTAAGTCATTCTTGTTTACATTCTTATACTCGACTCTAGACGCCACCCGTTATCGGTGTCTCACACAATTCACATAGCATTCATAATCTCATACATCAAGACCAAGAGATATCACTTCATATTCATCTATCTTCAACTTTAGAAACTATAAGCAAATCACTTTACATTCATCATTATTAACAACTGTTACCAACTAACAAATCTATCAACTTAAGCATTCACTTCTTTCTAACAACCTAGCTTTCATTCATCATCATAGAATGGGACACAAATCACTCACACAATCATTCATACCAATCATTATCCACATCAACACAAGGCAGTTCATTAAGTCCCATTTAAACAGTGTGAAGGTTCTTATGCATCATGATTCATTCATCTAACAACCTAACTCCCATTATGATCTATCAACTTAACTTTCAAACAAGGACTATCTAACCCTAATTCCCGCATCAATCAGAATAGAGATTAAGAAGACAGATCTGGTTTTCGAATCACCTCACCTTAGCAAGAGATCTGAGATCTAGATCTGGGAGTAAGAGGGGAAAAAGAGATGAGATCTGAAAGTCTCCACACACCCAGCACCACCACCGGCTCACGGCGAGGAGAGAGAGAGGAAGGCGGCGAGAAGAGAGGGAGAGGAGAAAGAGAGGCGGCGCGGAGGAGAGAGAGATTGACGGCTAGGGTTTCCGGTCTCCGGGACTTCTCTGCAGAGCTTCGCTTCTAGTTTGCTAATAAGACAAAAAGTGGAGGCTAGGGTCCTTTTTATACTAGAGTTGTAGGAACCCTAGGTCTTGTGTGCAATTGGGCTGTAGAGGGCCCATTCTCTTTAAAAAAAAATTATGGGCTTGGTATTGGGTTGTTACAACCTTCTCGATAGAAAAGGTCGTTCAAGATCTATCCCATATCTAGACTTTTTGCTAGTTATAGTTTAGAGCAGATTTGTCTTGTCACTAAATGGATAAAGACTAGCTGAAACTGTTATGCACAAGTTACTTTTTTTTTATCGCCCGATCTAACATGATTGGATGGTGGTTATCATATAAGATAGTTTTTTTTTTTTCTAATAATTAACAAAACATTTGATCGTTGCAACATCAATTACATCACCTCTCAAATGATATACCAATATTAATATCATGATGAAATCATACATTGGGGGCCAAGTGTCGGGAAATTATGCGTTGTAGAAGACCCTTGCTTATATAATTTTGTTTTGTTTTAATCAATATGAAATTTAATAATGATAGGAATAAAGTCTTGTCGTACATTTAATTATGTAGTGATATGCCACCTCTAACATTTGTTTAACTTAAATGAAAATCTAGCTTTTACAAAAATTTAAATATATCATTGTTGTTTTTGTGACAAGCTTATCTCATGGATAAAGTCCACTTTGCAAGGTAGGGTTGATATCCATGTTAGTACATAAATTATTTATAAAGATAATTCTCAAAATGGTAATGATAACATATGTACTTGCGAGTAAGTATCAAATATGAGAAATTCTAATTAGCTAGAACTCTGGAACTTTTTGGTCGTGGGTTGGGAGTTATATATAATGTGACCTCTCTCTATTTGGTGAAGAAGGGTCCATATGGCCCTAGAGGGAGAAAATATGTTTGATGTTAGAGATATAATAATTTGCAAAAGGACAACATACTGAGGGTCCAATCAGAATATACAAAAAAAAAAGATGAGAGCAAGAGCCAATGTAGTTGCGTGATGTGTCCTTGTTTAGCTTCTCTCCGTAAAGCGAATTAAAACACAACCCTAGCTAGCTTTAATTTGGTCTGTAAACCTTTCATAGAAGATGAGGCTAAAAATAAATACGTACTCCTCTCAAATGACATGCAATATTAATACATGAGAACCGAGGAAGAGGATATATAAACACAAGTAGTTACACAGGCGCAAGTTGACTCAGCAAAGCAGGAGCTCGCATATTGTTCATATATGTCTTGTCAAAGCTGATTAATGGAGGAGATGAGAGAGAGAAAGAAGTCTTCATCACAAGGAATAGTTAGGCCATTGTCTTGGTAGAACCCAAACTCTTCCTCGGATTGTCGCAGCAACATCTGATCAACGATCAATGACAGCTTCCATTAATTAGGAGAATACTTATATATTTTTATATATGTGTGTATAGAAATAGAAAGAGTACCTGAAAGATGGGGTGCGTGAGGAAGGAGATAGGAATGATGTGTCGGGATCTGGAGAGACCAACGTAAACGACGAAGTGACCTTTGGGGACTCCATTAAAGTTAACATGGACTGTGCTCTTCTTTCCCAAGCTCGAACATCTCTTAAGCATCTGCTTTAGGCCCTTACCACTTCCCCTTTCTACTCCCATATCCTTCTTTTTTTTTCTTCTTCTTCTTCTTCTTCTTCTTATGGATAAAGAGATGGTTGGTGGCTCATATTTATATGCAGAGACACATATGTGCTAATATATACACGACACACATACATAAAACATGATGTTTCAACGTTATGGGACTCACCATGTGCTGAAGTTTTTCTATTAGACCTGAATAATAAAATATATATATAACCAAATGCAACTATATGAACTCTTGGCAGCTTCATCAATTCGAGTGAGTTCCCCATGTTTCTATTGGTTCAATCAAGATCGTGTAAATTCACAGTGATGACTGAAGAAGTAACGTGTACCAACATAATAATATAAATAATGTTTGGGACTTTCAAATTGCTGAAGGAGAAGATGGGCGACGACGGCTCCGCATGTTCTGTGGATGAAAAGAAATAGGGCAATGATGTATTACAGACAAACCCCATTCAAGCAGAAAGCCCATACAGTCTCGTGCAGCCGCATCTTCTCAGCCACCAATCATTACCGGTCCGTTCAAATCTCTCTCTCTCAGTCTCAGCCAATCCTATCAAGCCTAAAACCCTAAACCTGGTGCAAGGTAAGTAAAGTTAAGCCAGACCATAATGTAATCTTATGTGCAAAGAGAACGTACAAAATCACATATGTATAGAGGTTCTCCCCCCCTTTTATTATTTTTTTTCCACAGGCAAAAGTGGTATCAATATCATACAATTACAAACAAGGAAGAAGACGGCAGTTTGTATCAAATGAGGGTCTTTTATGTTACAAGTGATATAATTAGCAAATTCTCACACATTTCTTATCATTATATGGAGTTTAGGGCCATCATTTTGCACTGCTCATTCATGGCCAGAAGCTGCGCCTCTTTCTTATCCACAAGAGCAGTGAGTCTCACGTTTTCTTCCATTAGTTTCTGAACCTCTGCCTCTTTCTGCACTTTATCGCTTTCCAACTGCGTTGTCTTTGCAACAAGCCTGCTTCATCAACAACAAATGACACCCTCATGAACTCACACACTAACTAATAATAGGAAATAAAATATGAGTCCCTAATTGAGCACACAAGAAAGATGAAGCTTTTCGGACTAGCTACAAAGAACACCAATCTTATCTCCAATCCCAGGAATGACTACGTATTTATAACCCCATAAAGCAGTTACACATTAATACAGACTTGGAAAGTAAATAAGAAGGAATATTTTTCTCAGAAAAAAATGGAAAGTGCATATAGAACTGACCGTTCAAAAAGTCTCTCGATAGTTTGAAACTGCTTCTCCGAGGAGACGAGGGTCTCTCTGACGCTGATGAGACTTGAAACATAGGATTTAAGGGACTCAAAGTCTCTCCTAACACGACAGAGTTCCTGCTCATTCTCCGTAGCTCTCGCCTTCTGTCTAGACGTCTCTTCCACCAAATCATCCACCCTCTGACGCATTTCACCGAGAATACTAGTGGTCCCGAGAGCAAACTTTTCCATGTCCTCTAATTTCATGGACATGTTGTTGATTTGGCCAACCTTCCTTTGAATTTCTTGCTGACTCAACATAAGCTTGTCTTTTTGAATAGCTGCTTCGGATTCAGCGACCATAGCACGCCTAGCGAGAGAGTCCATAACGCCTGAAACTGACTCTACATGATTTAGCATCTCAGAGACATAAGTATGATCACGTTCGACACCCTCACATGCCCCCGAGAAAGCAATCAATTTAGAATCATTGATGACAAGCTCATCACCAAGCTGAGACAAATCAGCGGTAGCAACAGTGATTGCTTTTGATTTAAGGTAGGTCAATAACGCTGTTGCGGTGTTCACTCGGCTCCATAGAGACTCAATCTCCAAATGTGAAACTTCCTTGGACTCAGGGCTCCTTCCCGTAGAGAGATCAGCATCATGATCGTCAATGATGTTAGATTCTAAAATTGAGGAGGAAGACACCTCTTGCTTTCCAGCCATATCCTAAATTCCTAGAAAGCTGGACAAAAAAAAAACCAACAACAAAGCTTTAGACTAACAAGCAACAAATAGAGTTATAGGCTCTAAGTTAGAGCCTATGAAGACAATCAAGGAACAAGAAAATTGGAGAAATTCAACTTTTACAAACATGATGAACACAACCAAAATGTCCCTTCAATATCAATATCAATTTCATTCCAGAAAAAAAAGGTCCAAAACCAATCAATCAATGAATCAGTATTTATATAAGCCAAATTGCCAGAGAACAATAACAAAGGAATCGGAAAATCAAATGACAAACCCCAAGAATTGGCGTCACGGATGAACTTTACCCCTCCGATCAACCGATTTGACAAAGGGGGACGAATTCGGGTCGGGTCGGGTTGACTTGATGTGTTGTAGAACGAATCTTTCTATTAACCCCCGCGTGCCAACACGATTGGTGCAAGGATGAGGAAGATTAACAGTTAGTTAATTATTTTCGCACCAAAGTTATTTGGGCCTTTAGTGAGCTTTCCTTATATATTGTACCAGCCCAATATTATTAATTCGAAGGGACTCTAATCTAGTGTTCCAGTGAAATAAAGTTGGACCTCAAGCTGCAAAAGACACTTGTAACTAATGTTAATAACAAACATTCTTGTGTAGCCACCCACCCATCAAAGGCCATTGCAAAAACTAACCCTTGATCTCATCATATGTTGCTGCAGGCTTTCCTTGCAACTTGTATGAGACCCTCTTGGTTACCAGTTACACATTAGTGAAGGTCAATGACATATATGAACACAACAAGGTACTTTTGTATTTATTTGGATGCAGAAGTGGTTTTCATTGATACTGCACACCATAAACCAATTAAGTCTCATTTTCTGGACTAACTAATGTTCAAAATGCAACTTTCTAATCATGATTTTTGGTTCGCTTTTGATGGACTGCCGTTGTATTCAAAAGCCTTTGCACACATAACAAGCAAGAGAAGCTTAGAAAAACAAGAAAACATCATAATCCGATTACACTTTAGTTATTGAAAAATAACACCAATGTAATAATAGGCACAACAAGTACCAGAACTGGGAACCCCAAAACAAAACAATTATAAGAAAAGTTGAGACAAATGTGAGGCTGCTTTGTCCACAACTCATAAAAATGGAGTTATATCATTCGTCTTCTTCGTCGGTGAATCTAACATGATGTTTTCCTGTTGGTGAGGGAAAAACTTTCAAACGCAGCACTCCTGGAGTTTGCTCTTCAGCCTCCACCATTTCTTCAAGTTCACTGTCATACACAAACCGAGTGTGCTTCCCTGCGAAGCTCATCTTTCTCATTCCCTCGCTCAACCCATCCACTTCCTCCTCATCCTCTTCGTAGTAGTATTCCTCTTCATCATCATCTCTCTCCCTGTAAGGATACACTACTTCTTCTTCTTCATCATCCTCTTCGTCTTTGGTACTTGCGTTGACTTGCATCGACCACACAGAGGAGTTATCATCCTCTGGGTTCTGAGTCACCACAGAAGAACAGTCCGAGCTCTCCCACAGCTCTGACTTATCACTAAAATCCAGCAGCAATGACCTTGTTATGCTCGGACTCTTGTCTAAGCAGCTCTCCTCTTTCTCCACCACAATCACCTCGCTTTCATCCACCTGGATGTCCAAAAAGTAACATCATTTTTACTTAGCATTTGACCACAATCATCTCTATTCTATTACCCACACACAGAATTACTTAGTCTTACCTGAGAAGAAGAAGATGCTGCTGCTCTCAGCTGTGCCGAGACAACGGGAGATGTGATAACAATCTGCTGCACTGCATCAAGAACTTGTGGGGTGTTGGCCGGAGTTGGGGCAAGAAGTCCCATGGGAGAAGTAACTAGATGGATGAAGGGACGAGATTCAACTGAATACTTTGTAATAAGGTGATGTGCCTCTTCTTCTTCAACCTTCTGCAACAGATTCTTGACTTGGCCTCTCAAGAGAGCCTCACCAGATCCAGGAGTGCTCTTGATTCTGCTCTTCCCAACCACTCCTGAAGATGGAGTCTGCATCGCCAGTCCTACGATTGGAGAGTCGTTGGTTATGTCGAACAATGCTAACCTGTCTTGCTTCGGTGTTGCACCGTTTCTTTGCCTTGATTTCGGCTCCTCTGGTTTCTCTACAAAATTCAGAAACAATATAGAAGAAAAAGAGTTAGAGGGTCTGAATAGAATACAAATCAACTAATCAATTAGGATACAACTCTCTGAAACTAGGCCATTTTAAATATCGATCCAGTCCAGATTCATGAAACAGAGAAACATATGGAGGCTTACTTGATGATAAGAGATGATTGGTGGCGGAGCCTTTCATGGCAGAGAGGGTCTGAGATCTCGTCACTCTTCTCGTTGATGAAGGTGTTTCCATCTAGATCTAAAAGACTACTAGTTTCTGGGGGAATGTTGAACGGAGACTAATAATAACAATCGAAAATGCTTAAAGGAGGAGTTTTTGGACAAGTGAGTGAGTATGGTGACTGCTGTGTCTCTAGTATTTAAAGGCAGTCATAACCAATAGGGTTTTGAAATAAAAATTAGCCGTTGGGACCTACTCTATTACAGGAAAGGAAGGAGCCGTTTCCGAAAACTAGCCGTTGGGACCACTTTCCGTTCGTACACGAAAGGAAGGAGCCGTTTCAGAAAACTAGCCGTTGCGACTCTCGTTGATAAAGCATTATGGGCCTTTGGCAGCCCTTGCTATGCCCCGATTAAAAACTCCGTAATTACTATGCTGGTTATAACGGCCCAATCCATTAGTTGATAAGTTATGGGCTAAAGCCTAATTAAGGAGTTGGAATGATCATCGTGCATGGTCTCTCTCTTTAGTTTTGTTGATTCCAAAGATTATTACCCTTGCACGCTGCAAGTATAGTATAAAAAATTCAGAGGCAAAACCGCAGAAATGCATGCGGTCACTGAGGAAGAGAAATGCAACTAGCTTGGTGACAGGAGATTGTTGGTGAGAGAAGACGTATGGGTGGTGACTTTTTGTATCTTGTAGATGATGAATGGGGTGTCTACAGCTATATATAGATCTTAAAAGAGTATCTTCTGGGATTGTGTTCTGACAAAGTTAAAGAAACAAAGACAGAACCGGTTCAACTTGGCCGGAAATCCAGCGCGAACTCAGAAATTAACAACTCTTTGATATGGGTTTTGTTAATGCCAAATATATTCATTAACCATATATTTTTGATTAGCTCATGATAAACCTTAACACATGGAACGGCTTGGAAGCCAGGTTGGCTAATTAGCTATCAAAACATTCTTAAGAAAGGCCTAGTAGCCATAATTAATACTATTTATATATAGGTATAATATATAGTTTAGGCTAACATGACACACGTTTTTCTATCTGGACAACTATATTAGAAAAAGGGTCAGAAAAAAAGCAAAAGCACTTCAGATTCAGTCTGCTAAGTGTTTCCCGTAATCATTACTACATACATAAATACATCGATTTTATCATCATTATTTAGTTGTTCAACAGTTTCTTTCAAAAGTATTTTAATTTTGTTTAATACTAGTACCAGCTCAAGAGTTATTGGAATACGGTTGCGCGTTGGCGTGGCATGTGAAAGTGATCAAGAAAAAAAATATAATTTGTTGTGTAAATTTTTTTTTTTTTTTTTGATCAACTTGCTGTGTTGTGTTGTGTAAATTTCTGTGATAAGAAAAAAGAAGAAGACTGAAAACACAAAACGTAAACGCATTAGATAAGAATTATATTGTGTTGAATGGGAAACCTGTGTTGAAAAGACCAAGTCAACTTGGTAGACGAAAATAATGGTAAATAAGCAGGAAATGTAAGATTAAGGAATTGTATTATAAAATAAGTTAATCATAATGCTCGCTGTTACAGAGACAGCGAGTTGAACCAAATCCAGGCTAAGCTGGTCTATAGAGTTAGTTAAACATAGGAATGTAGTAAGAAATGTGTACATAGCACAATAATAATGTCGTGACAATAATAAAAAAAAAATAAAAGTGATATTTGGAAGTGTTTTCGGGATGCTGTCGGGCCTGTCACATGGAGCTGCTTCTATTGGGTCTAGGCTTTCACACCATACAAATACAAATCTTAAACCACCCCGTTTTGCAGGAATATCAGGTCTAAAATGACCTTTTATCAGTATATAAATATGGTAGTTGGAATGGTAACAAAAGCCCACAAGATACTAGTGTGTGTATATAAAAAAGTTAAAAAAGAAAAAAATAAAAGGAAAAGGCAAAAGGACTAAAGGGGGGGAGGAAAGTGGAGAGGAGATTTCGTGGCATGAATCTCACTCGCTCTTTGGGTTTGACCAACTCAACTCTCTCCTCCTTCCTCTCTTCTTCATTTTGTCAGATTTGTTTATTAAACTGAATCTTCTTCCCAACTCCCAAATCCATCATCGACTATTGTTTGTTTCCCTTTGAATCAGATTTCTAGTTCTGCTTAGTCATCAATCATATCAATGGGTGTGTGTTTCTCGGCCATTAGAGTCACAGGTACGAGCAGCAGAAGCAGCAGAAGAAGTAGTGGTCAGACGAAGACCAAAAACAAGGGAGGATGTAATAATAAGAAGAACCCAAAGTCTACGGAGAACAAGGAGGATAAGAAGCCCTCCTCTACCACCACCAATACGAAGCGGAAACCAGGCGCAATCTCATGCGGGAAGCGTACCGAATTTGGATACGACAAAGACTTCCACGAGCAGTATAGCATAGGGAAGTTGCTGGGTCATGGTCAATTCGGCTATACTTACGTTGCCATCCACAAGTCCACTGGCGATCGTGTCGCCGTCAAGAGGCTCGATAAGAGTAAGGTATTGTTCCTGTTTCTCTCATCCCCAAAAGTTTCTGCTGGTTTAGGGATTGTGGGATTCTAATTCCCTTTTTAAAATTAGTGGGTATCTCAATATGCCTTTTGTTAAATCCATTCTATTATATACTATTCCATCTCAATTGCCGGCTAGATTCTCCGAATAACTGTTTTAATTTGTCCAAAGCATTCGTCAAGGTATTGATTCTCCATTTTAATTCCCTACCAACATGAGCTCTTCTTGCTGCCTTCATTTGCAACATTGGTCCTCCTACACTTACTGTTTTTCCTTTTGTTGCTGACAGATGGTTCTTCCAGTTGCGGTTGAGGACGTGAAGCGAGAGGTTCAGATTCTTAAAGCTCTTTCAGGGCACGAGAACGTTGTCCAGTTTTACAATGCCTTTGATGATGATGACTATGTCTACATTGTTATGGAGTGAGTCAGATTGATACTCTCTCTCCCTTCCCTTTGTTTTTCGTTTACATTCAATTGTCTATCATCTATCAGCATTCACATTCCACTCTTTTGCATTAGGCTGTGCGAGGGAGGCGAATTGCTGGACCGGATTTTATCCAAGTTAGTTAGTTACCCATCTATTCTCTCCCACTGCTGCTATTTTGAGAAATAATTACCCAATCTTACTCTCTATTGACGCTTTTCTTTCAGGAAAGATAGTCGTTACTCCGAGAAGGATGCAGCCGTTGTCGTCAGGCAGATGCTCAAAGTCGCTGGTGAATGTCATCTCCACGGTCTTGTTCATAGAGATATGAAACCTGAGGTACTTTTTATTATTTCCCTTCTCTTACTCTTAGGCGAGTTGTTGCTTTCCTTTTCACTTTGTTTTTAATATCCTCCTCTTCCCACTTCTTGCAGAATTTTTTGTTCAAATCAGCTAAACTGGATTCGCCTCTTAAGGCTACAGATTTTGGTCTATCCGATTTTATCAAACCAGGTTAGTAGAAGCTTTCAAAATATCACTCACTGAAATTGTGTTGATTTGTATGTAGAGGCGCTATCAAAGTCCTCGCCAACTAAGTGGTAGAGCCTAATTATGTTGATTTGTGTGGTAAAAAAACTCAAATGTTTTCAGGGAAAAAGTTCCATGACATTGTTGGTAGCGCCTATTATGTTGCTCCTGAAGTACTTAAGCGCAGATCAGGCCCTGAATCTGATGTCTGGAGCATTGGTGTTATTACCTATATTTTACTCTGTGGAAGGCGCCCTTTCTGGGATAGGACTGAGGACGGTATTTTTAAGGAGGTGAGGTTCCTAAAACCCTTTCATTGGATTTCTATTTATATATGTCTTATTTCTCTCTGACTTCTTACTATATGTCTATAGGTCTTAAGGAATAAACCTGACTTCCGTCGCAAACCATGGTCAACTATAAGTGACAGCGCCAAAGATTTTGTTAAAAAGTTACTTGTTAAAGACCCACGAGCACGCCTAACTGCTGCACAAGCCTTGTGTATGTGTGGTCCTTACTTTTGAGTACTAGTTGGTGATTTGATCATCTGCAATGGAATCTTAAAATACTGCTCTTTTGTCTCTGCAGCACATGCGTGGGTTAGAGAAGGAGGCAATGCCACTGACATCCCTGTCGACATTTCAGTTCTGAACAACTTACGTCAGTTTGTGAGATACAGCCGTCTTAAGCAGTTTGCTTTGCGGGTAAGCCCGAACTAGGAAGTTGTAAGAAAAAAAAAAAAAAAACTAGAGAGATCAGGGCTTGTCTCTTATGCTCTATGTCTCCTTTCTGGCAGGCTCTTGCTAGCACGCTCGACGAGGCAGAGATCTCTGACCTCAGAGATCAGTTTGATGCTATTGATGTGGATAAAAACGGTGTCATTAGTCTTGAGGAGATGAGACAGGTAAGTGAAATTTATGACGAGTTTACTTCAAGAACAATACTAATTACGTCTACGCATGATCATATAATGTAGTATCTTTCGTTAATGTACAGGCACTTGCCAAAGATCTTCCCTGGAAACTGAAGGATTCACGAGTTGCCGAGATACTTGAAGCGGTAATTACAATTTTCTTCGCCATTGCAATAGCATTGAGAGATGTAGTTTCCATATAATCTGAAACGATCTTGTAATGTTTGGTGGAGACAGATTGATAGCAACACTGATGGGTTAGTGGACTTCACAGAGTTTGTAGCAGCAGCTCTACATGTTCATCAACTGGAAGAACATGACTCAGAGAAATGGCAGGTAAGATCAAGAGCAGCTTTTGAGAAATTCGACATAGACAAAGACGGGTACATAACCCCTGAGGAGCTTCGAATGGTAAGCTTTTTCATATCTATAATATTCTCTCTTTTTTTTTTTTTTGTTGAGGAGATGATATAATAAAAAAAGAAAGAAAAAACGAAGCGTCTTAAATGTTTTGGTGAATTAAACAGCACACGGGAATAAAAGGGTCAATAGACCCACTACTGGATGAAGCAGACATAGACAGAGACGGGAAAATAAGCCTGCATGAGTTCAGGAGACTTCTAAGAACAGCGAGCATAAGTTCGCCGAGAGTTCCTCCAAGCACTGCAGGGCACAGGAATCCTCGGTAGTCTTAAATGGTATATATACTAGAAGAGGACAATAAATGGAGACAGGGCAATGTGATATATACATATGTATTGTTGATTGTAAGATAAGTGGGGTTTTGGGGTTGTAATTAGTTTGGTTGTGTGAAGTAGCCAAACCAAAGAAACAGTGTTGAGTGGTTTTGGATGATAAGTAAGAACTGTTTTTGGTCACGAGGTGGAAGAGGTCATGGGATCGGTAAATGCCATTATTCCCTGACTCGACCACAGGTGGGTGCAGAAGAAAGATAGATCCCAGCTGTAATTTGAATCTCCCATATGTTTTGTTCCCATTTTTGTTTTCCAGTTCAACTGCTATTATTATATTTGTGAGAGGACCAACACAAGACGGCCTATTTCTATTTGTGATATGGGTGGCTCTACTCTGTCTCTTTCCAAGGCATCATGTATTTTGATTCGACTTTTTAATCATTAGTGTCTTGGGTCCAGGAGGCCTATTGTTAATTAATTAAGCCCACTACTTGTTAATTAATTAAGCCCACTATGTAGCCCACTAAGCACTAAACTGTGGTGTGGATATAGCTGTATGACAATGCTAACTGGAGACAAATGAGGAAGCTGTAATAACTTATCCTCTTAACACTTGGCCTCGCATTTTCCTTCACACAATCTACAAACAGCCAATCACAAACCTGATCATATCATATAGCTTTCCTCTAACATTTTTTTTTCTCTGATCTTTAGCCAAGAAGAAAGACAGAGAGGCCTACCCATCTTCCTTGCATTGTTGAACAAACATGGCTGCTGCTGCTGCTATAGGTGCTGCAGTCTCTTATCCATCATCCAAGTCCTCTTCTCTTCCCTCCAAAACTTCCTTCGTCTCCCCTCAAAGGATTTTCTTCAACAACAAGGTATCATCTTCTTAATCACCATCTCTGACCAAAAACAAGGCTTAAATATTTTTGTCTTCTTGATGTTGGGGGGCATCATGCATATGTACAGAGCACGTTGTGCTACAGAGAGGCGTGTGTTTATGGGGGAAGAGTGAAGGCTCAGGTGTCAACAGAGGCGCCAGTGAAAGTAGCCAAGGAGTCAAAGAAACAGGAAGAAGGAATTGTTGTCAACAAATACAAACCAAAGGACCCTTACACTGGTCGTTGCCTCTTGAACACCAGGATCACTGGCGATGACGCTCCCGGTGAGACCTGGCACATTGTCTTCACCACCGAAGGTACTCTATATAGTCATTATAATGTTCCAAATTCAATATAATCATTAGAATGTTTTGATTTTTTTTTCCCTCAAGTTGTTTGGTAAAAAATAAGTATGAATGGAGTGTAGGTGAGGTTCCATACAGAGAAGGGCAGTCGATAGGAATTATTCCAGAAGGAATTGACAAGAACGGGAAGCCCCACAAGCTCAGGTTATACTCTATCGCCAGCAGTGCCATTGGTGACTTTGGGGACTCCAAAACCGTGAGCTTTCCCCCCTCTGACAAGTAAACTAATGCTAGACTTGATATTATTCTCTCTTATGATCTGCAATGGTCTTTCTTATGCAGGTTTCTCTCTGTGTCAAGAGATTAGTTTACACTAACGAAAGCGGAGAGGTTGTTAAGGGAGTCTGCTCCAACTTCTTGTGTAAGTCCAAGAAGAACAATTAATGGTGTTTGATTACGGTTAAAACCTCTTTTGCTGTTTTTTCTTTTACAGGCGACTTGAAGCCGGGTGATGAGGCGAAAATCACTGGACCTGTTGGAAAAGAAATGCTTATGCCTAAAGACCCCAATGCCACTATCATCATGGTATATATGTCCCTCACGTGTGTTTTTCAAGTAAAATAATCAACACTTGTAGTGATTACTTGTTTGTTTTCCGTTTACCTTAGCTTGGAACAGGAACTGGAATAGCTCCATTCAGATCATTTTTGTGGAAAATGTTCTTTGAGGAGCACGAGGACTACAAGGTGAAACTAAGATCTCAAACTCTCTCTGACACACTCTCCAATTATAGTGTAACTCACTCACCTTTTGACATTGGCTGGCTATATATATATAGTTCAATGGCTTAGCATGGCTCTTCTTGGGTGTACCCACAAGCAGCTCACTGCTCTACAAGGAGGTAATCCCAGTCACAGCAACTAATCTTGTTTGTACGTAGAGCTGGTTGTCTGACCTGTATGGATATATATAATGACAGGAGTTTGAGAAGATGAAGGAGAAGAATCCGGAGAACTTCAGGCTGGACTTTGCGGTGAGCAGGGAGCAGACAAATGAGAAGGGAGAGAAAATGTACATACAGACAAGAATGGCAGAGTATGCAGAAGAGCTGTGGGAGTTGCTGAAGAAAGACAACACCTTTGTTTACATGTGTGGTCTCAAGGGTATGGAGAAGGGTATCGATGAGATCATGGTCTCACTTGCTGCTAAAGATGGTAAGGCACTTTAAAGTCATTTCATATTTTGGAAACCAAGCAAGTCTGCTGCTGTTGCAAATGGTCTTAATTAACTGGGGGCTTTTTGAACAGGAATCGATTGGTTGGAGTACAAGAAGCAATTGAAGAAGAGTGAGCAGTGGAATGTGGAAGTCTACTAAGGAAGGAAGGAAGCTTGTGAGGGGTTTATTATTATTATGTAGATAAAGGAGCTGATGCCATTGTCAATTCTTCATCTTTCTTCTTCTTCATGTGAGGATTTGCATCAACAATTTAAAGAGAGCATCATTACCATCAAACTACTCCTTTTCACTTCCTTTTCATATCATATTTATTCCAACAGTATACTGCATTTTATGGATTACCTCATAGATGTTTGCATGTTCAATATCTCTCGCTCCAAATCGTCAACACACAGCAGCAGTTGAAAAGAAGATGGGGGTGGGGGGAATTACATAACTCTTGTGAGCTTATATATATATATATATATATATATACCATTATGGTCACTTTCACTAGCTCAGGTTTAGAGACTTTGCATTAAGAAAACATTTTAAAGGAGTGAAATTTACATTCAGAATATTAATACATTTAGGCATCAATAAATAATTTCTTTTATATCTAAAAAAATGTGCATCAAAACTTTTAACATAATTAATAATAAGCTACAGAACATGGATTTTATTTATACCAAAAGTAAGGGTGTAACTAGTGGGCAATTATTATAAAGGTCGCATGTAGGATTATGAACTTATTATAGAAGCTAATTAAGGAGTATTACAGTATTTATGTGGTGAAGTGATAATCTAGACACAATTAGATTAAATTATGATAGAGAAACAGTTAGTGAGAGTGGTCTGGATCTGAGGAAAAACCAACGATACAAATTGGTCTTTACGACCCTTCTTTTTCTCTCCATTTGTTATATATAATAACAAGTTTGTCTGTAAAAAGAAAGAAACATCTGAAGCTCGATGGTGATACCGGGATTGTCTTTGTTGGTCTGTGTTATTGTATCTGTTACCTGGGAGAGCGTTAATGGGGCCTACCTTAAGTACGGAACCGATGCTAGAGTGGTGCCGGGGAAACTAAACGTGCATCTTGTCCCGCATTCTCATGACGATGTTGGGTGGTTAAAAACCGTTGATCAGTACTACATCGGATCAAACAACACTATCCAGGTACATATATATAGATATTAGAGAATGTATATATATACCTATAAATTCTCAAATGTTTGATCTCAACTTGAGATTAATTTGGTCATCAGAAAGCATGCGTGAGAAACGTGATGGACTCAGTGGTGGATTCGCTGCGTCGCGATCCCAATAGAAAGTTTGTGTTTGCTGAAATGGTGAAAACATAGCAATTGCCTTTTTAATTATATCAACCACCAATTAATGTTTTGATGATAAACCATATAATATAATATGACATATGTTTGGTGTGTGTAAATGATGAAAAAAGGCATTCTTTACGCGGTGGTGGGGAGAACAAAGCCCCGAGACACACGAACAAGTGAAGAAGCTTGTTCATTCCGGATCACTTGAGTTTGTGTAAGTGTTTGTAGTGCGATTGTTTGATCAATTTTGATTTTCACAGAATGACAAATGTGGCGTGTGGGTGCAGGAACGGAGGATGGAGTATGCACGACGAAGCAACGTGCCATTACATAGATATGATAGACCAGATGACGTTAGGTCATCGTTTTATAATGCACAATTTCAACGTCACTCCACGTGCTGCTTGGCAGATTGATCCCTTTGGTCATTCCTCAGTGCAAGCTTACCTCCTGGGAGCAGAGCTAGGTTTCGATTCTCTTCATTTCGCCAGAATCGATTACCAAGAAAGAGACAAGCGCAAGGACGAGAAATCCTTAGAGTTCATCTGGAGAGGTTCCGAAACTTTTGCATCTTCTTCTCAGATATTCACAAATACATTCCCTGTTCACTATAGCCCACCCCATGGCTTTCACTATGAAATCACTGAGGATTACGCTCCTCTCCAGGATGACCCTCTTTTGGATGCTTACAACATCAAGGACGCCGTTGATGACTTCGTCAACGCTTCCTTCGATTATGTACAGTTTTACTAATTGAATCTTTCTTGGGGGGTAACTATTTTGATGGGAATTTATGTATATATGGACAGGCCAATGTGACTAGAGGGAACCATGTGATGTGGACAATGGGTGATGATTTTCAGTATCAGTTCGCTGAGTCTTGGTTCAGACAGATGGACAGATTGATCCATTATGTTAACAAGGTTTCTTCCTTCTCTCAGTCTCACTTCTCTCCCTCTCATTCCTTACAAGCTCAACTTTCTTTTTTGCAGGATGGCCGTGTGAACGCATTGTACTCCACACCATCTCTCTATGTTGATGCCAAGAATGCTGCCGACAATATCACTTGGCCTCTCAAGACCCATGACTTCTTCCCGTCAGTGTCTATCATCTTAAACTTAACAACACTCATTCCTCTCGTCCAATCTTGTTGAGCTTTACTTTCTGTGTTCACTGTATGTAGGTATGCAGATCGGGATAACGCCTACTGGACTGGCTACTTCACCAGCCGCCCTTCTTTTAAACGATATGTTCGCTCTCTTAGTGGATACTACTTGGTATCACTATCCTACTGAGTCTCTCTACTTTCTTTCTCAAATTCAGACACTTAACAAGGAACTTGCTTACAAAACAGGCTGCAAGGCAACTTGAGTTTCTGGTGGGAAAGAAATCTGGAGGTCCAAACACTTGCAGTCTTGGTGTTGCTTTAGGAATAGCGCAGCACCATGATGGTGTCACTGGAACTGCCAAGCAGCATGTTACTAATGATTATGCCAAACGCCTAGCACTTGGTGCTTCTGAGGTAACAATTAAACTTACTATTCAAAACTCTTTGGCTAGGTAAACTGATTTCATTGTATGTTTCCCCTAGGCAGAAGCAGTGGTGAATTCTGCGCTGGCACACTTACTGAACAAGGCACGTACAAAGCCTGACATATCATTAACTCAGGTTCAAAGATCCTTGAACCTCATTTTTGTTTAGAAAAAAAAATCCATTTTCATGGTTATGTGGGATATATAATGAATGAGTGATTCTTTTCCTCGTGGAATTGATGAGCAGTGCTCGTCGATGAATATCAGCTATTGTCCAGTGACGGAAGAACCCATTTCAGACCAGAAAAGCTTGGTAATTCTATAAGCATTTGGATATATAGCTTTCATGCTCAGCTTAGGCTTCAACTGTCTCAATGGCTTCATCTTAAATCAGATTCTTGTGGCCTATAACTCCCTTGCATGGAATCGTACAGAAGTCATCAGGATTCCGGTTAGATTTCATGCTTTTTTAAATCTAGTTTACTTGCTTCTTTGAGGTCAATAATGAAGACTTTCAATTTCTCTGTTTTACTAAAAGTCACGGTATGTCCCAGGTCAATGATGCAGGTTTAAACGTGGAAGATTCATCAGGAAACACCCTTGATTCTCAATACATTCCTATGGATAATGTCACGAGCAACCTGAGAAGTAACTATTCGAAAGCTTATTTGGGAATATCTTCACAGCAGGCTCCAAAGTATTGGCTTGTGTTTAAAGCAACAGTGCCGCCACTTGGTTGGAACACATTCTTCATATCTAAAGCAAGCGGTGAAGGTAACCTTACACATTCGATAGAGAGTTACACGCAAGATGTGCTTTTAACTCATGATTCTCTTTTCGTATCATGCATGCATAATGATATAGGAAGCAACAAAAACAGACACTCTCCATCGACGTTTAGTCCAATGAAGGGTATAACTGAAATTGGTCCAGGAAATCTAAAGCTTGTGTTTTCACCAGACACCGGTCTTCTCAAACGGATGCACAACTCCAGAACAGGAGTAATGTTTCTCGTTTACTCTCTTGTACACTTGAAAATCTTGGAACTATGGTGACAAAAAGGATTCAGACACAGTTGTCTCTAATAAATATGTTTCAGGCTAACATACTGGTGGACCAGAACTATCTCTGGTATGCTTCAAATGTGGGGGACTCAAATAATTCCCAGGTTTCCGGTGCATATATTTTCCGACCTAATGCTTCCTTGGCGTATGCTTTTCCCTCGAAAGTGAGTCTATGAATCAGTACTCCTACATATCCATAGATATATGTAGACTCTTAACTAGGGTTCTCCAAGAGCATTGAGATGCTGAGTTTCGATCATAAAGATATTAAGATAAAACAGAATCTAGGTTTTCTTTGGACTTACACACTGGTTTTACTCTTGAAATTCAAGTAAAGCCAGATACAAATAATTAAATGATCCATACAAAATACTTGTTGGGCCATGACTGATGCCTTTTCATTGGCAATGGTGGTATTGCGCAGCCAAAGTTGCAGATCGTGAGAGGGCCTATAGTAGATGAGGTGCACCAGCAGTTCAGTCCTTGGGTGTCACAGGTGTGTGATTTAGATGTTCAACATTAGCTTCGTTGTTGTGGTGATAATTCTAATGCCATTGGCAGTAAAGTAGATGAGAAACATTAGTTGATTTAGAATCGTGTTATGTAGGTGATAAGAGTGTACAAAGATAAAGAGCATGCAGAGTTTGAGTACACTGTGAGTGACTCCAAATCACATTAATTTGGAAAGAAGGAAGATCCCTTTCTTGAGGCTTTCATTTTAACTGAGCAGATAGGTCCAATACCTGTTGGTAAAGATTACGTAGGAAAAGAGGTTATTACAAGGATGGTGGCAAATATGAGCACAGATAAGGCGTTTTATACTGACTCTAACGGAAGAGACTTTATGAAACGGGTACTTGTGTAATCTCTCATATAATGCAGTCATGTGGCGTTAATAGAATTGAACTTTGAATGTACGCTGTGTTGCAGGTCAGGGATTACAGAACAGACTGGGTTCTCAAAGTGAATGAACCAATAGCAGGAAACTACTATCCGGTAAACTATTGATGTGAAAACTTTGGAGTAGATCAATCAAATGTTGAGTAAGTGTTAAAAAAAGGATTGTGTTGTGTGAGTAATATTCAGCTTAATCTGGGAATGTACACAAAAGACAAGAAAGTAGAGTTGTCGGTGTTGGTTGATAGAGCTACTGGTGGTGGTAGTATCAAGGACGGTGAAATAGAACTAATGCTCCACAGGTTCCAAAGTTCATCTTATATGTAGCCTCGAATTTAAAGAAACAAAAAAAAAAAAAGCAAGAAACATTGTTGTTGTTTTTTTTTTGTGTGGTTGAAAACGTGGAAACAGGCGCAGTTGCATGGATGATTCGAGAGGAGTGGAGGAGAGCCTTGAGGAAACTGTGTGTATCAATGGTACATGCACAGGATTAAGGGTATGAATAAATTTGACATTTATCTGTAGAGGAAAACACACATATGTATATACTTGGGTCTCGTCGTGTAAATGTAGGTACGTGGGAATTACTATGTAAGTATAAATCGGGTAGGAGAAGGAGCGAGGTGGAGACGAGGGACAGGGCAGCAAATATACAGTCCGCTTCTAATGGCATTCACACACGAAAACAAGGAGAAATGGAAAGGCTCCAATTCTGTGAAAGGTAATGCCATGGATCCTCTCTACGCCTTCCCTCCAAACGTTGCTCTCATCACTCTTGAGGAGCTGGATCTCGGCAACGTTCTTCTCCGCCTGGCTCATCTCTACGAGGTATTGTATAAGACCTTTTACATGGATATATGATGACTCTTTGAGTGATCAAACTGGTGTATAATTTACTTGCAGGCCGGAGAAGAGAGTGAGTACTCGAAAGTTGCTAAAGTTGAGCTAAAGAAGTTGTTTCCCGGGAAAACTGTAAGAAAACACTTTCCTCATCTAGACAGATGAATCCAATAATTCTAAAAAATGTAATATTTTGTTTTGGGGGGGGGGGGGGGGTTGTGAATAGATCAAAGGAGTGAAAGAAATGAGTTTGGCAGCGACTCAAGAGAAGGCTAAGATGAAGGAGAAGATGAAGTGGAAAGTGGAAGGTGAAGGTGAAAAATCTCAATCCTCATCTCATCCGCAAAAAGGTGGACCACTTGACAGCTCCGCATTAGTTGTAGAGCTTGCTCCTATGGAGATTCGTACTTTCTTGCTCCAGTTCTCGCAGAAGCCTGTTAAACAACAGAGGAGAAGAAAGTTTATTCTGGGATTTTGATTTCGCCCCCATTGTAATCTTTTTCTCTTTATATCTAAATAATTATTTCTTGTCTCAAAAATCATATCTCGAAGCATTCACCATATCATCAACAACGGACGGTTTAATTGATAAGAGAGAGAGAGAGAGAGAGAGAGAGAGAGAGAGTTTTGAAAGTTGGAACGCGCAGGAAAGAAGGTTGGTTCATCACTCTACTCTTATATTGCCCTACTATTTTGGGCTGTTTAAGCTCATTTCGATCCCATTAGGCCATTATAGCGGAATGCGTGCTACCGCCAGTGTGTTGATGTAGATGAGGCGACGAAAAATATAGTGCAGAAAGTAAAACACATTAAATTTGTTAACGGGGTTCATTTCCTACATCCCCAAGACCCAGTCCAGATTTTACTGACTTAGAACAAGGAGCAACCTACAATTGCTATATGGCACAACACAGACACTAGTGTTTACCACTCTTTTCTAAGAATCAATCTACAAAGATTAGGTATCAGCACGCATGCATACAACACCATTTGGGCGCGCCAGAGCACACTGTCTTCTACAGCTGCAATCTTCACAGACCTCTTCAATAAAACCGTATTTGCTAAACTCTCCCTGAGTCTAAGCTTCAATCTTCCACTTCTCGGAAGTACTTCACCCAGTACGTCAGTACCCAACGCACACCAGTGACACCAAACGCTTGATCACCCAAGCACACACAATGCTCACCACGAGCTACACACGATGGCTAACTCCACCATACCAAACATCACTACGAACACCACCAAACTAAGTCCACATCAGACTCCATCACGAACTACTTCAGAATGTCCTTCGACACCAAGCAACAACACAACCCAATATACAATGAAACCCCTCTCTCTTTTCTGTGAGGTCTGGCTTTTTCATAAGGCACGACCCTCCTTATATATCATACCAGAACTTGCTCTGCACGTCTTTAACTCGCTCTCCAAGTCTTCCACTTGCTCTCCAAGTATTTCCAAAACATATAAGGTAACTTTCCATTTTCCTTAATGGAAAAACTTCATCTTCAAGCAAACTCTCTTTTGCTTTATGGAAAACGTCCATATGTCTTCAGTCACATATTCTCTTTCCTTTTCCAAGCTCATCAAGTCCACACACATCACAAAACCCAATCTCCCATTCAGTTTCATCTTCATGAGACACGCCTGTACTACCTCATGTAGTACTTCACGAACTGATACAGAACACCTCTGCAAATTGCATCTTCACAGTGGGCTCTCTCTCTCTCTGCTAATAACAATGCTTTTGGTTATTCGAGGATTAACTCATGTCACTGAATTTTTTGACCCGATATCATCGGCAGCTTGTTGAGAGTGAAGGAAAGAACATTGAGGTTGATGTGCTGACACGGGAGGAAAGTGTTCTTCGCCAGCTAGAAGAAGCTGAAATTGATGTTATTGTGGTCAAGATTGAAGCAACAAAGGCAGCCGCTGAAGCAGCCAAGAAAGACCCTCAAAGGGAAACTTGATATCTCTCTTTTGATGTTTGTGGTTTCAAGACATCTTACACAACTTTAAGCAGATAAATCTTGATTTTCCATAGTTATCAAAAAATTGAATTTTCAAATAAATATTATCTATATATACTATTTAGCCTATTTAGTATTGTTTAAAATTACCTAACCATACTCCAAATTATATATGTGTATGCTAAACATATTTTCATGGTATTTGTGCATCATTTCCAAATTTGCGGTGAGTCATTTATTTACACTTTATATACCATCTAATAAATGGATTAACCCCTATAAAAATTCTATTTTCTGGTCAAACGGAAACACCTAAACTCTCAAACCTCTTTAATCTTCTTACTAAGTTAATCTGAATTCGGAATGTGGTTAGATATTTTTAAACAACACTAACTTAGTAAGAAGATTAAAGAGGTTTGAGAGCTTAGGTGTTTCTGTTTCTCCAGAAATTAGAGTTTTTATAGGGGTTATTCCATTTATTAGGTGGTATATAAAGTGTAAATAAATTACTCATTGAAAATTTGGAAATAATGCCAAAATACCATGAATTCATGTTTAGCATACATATATATATATGAATTCGAAGTGTGGTTATATATTTTTAAACAACACTAAATAAGTTAAATAGTAGAGTTAGTATTTATAAAAAAATCCAGTCTTTTCGTAGGGGTTAACCTACATATTTCAAGAAAAATTAGAAAAAATAATATTTTTGTTTAATGCATAGCTGCATCACAAACTAGCATAGTAAGAAGATTATAGAGGTTTGAGAGCTTAGGTGATCTTATTTCTTCAGAAAATAGAGTTTTATAGGGGTTAATCCATTTATTAGATGGTATATAAAGTTTAACTAAATTAATCATTGAAAAATTAGAAATGATGCCCAAATACTATGAAAATATGTTTAGCATACACATATATAAATTCGGAGTGTGGTTAGGTATTTTTAAACAACACTAAATATGCTAAATAGTAGAGTTAGTACTTATCAGAAAATTCAGTCTTTTCGTAAGGGTTAACCTACACATTTCAAGAAAAATTAGAAAAAATAATATTTTTGTTTTAATGCGTAGCTGCATCATGAACTAGCATAGTAAGAAGATTAAAAAGGTTTGAGAGCTTATGTGTTTATCATACATATATATAAATTTGGAGTGTGGTTATCTATTTTTAAACAACCTTAAATAGGCTCAATAGTAGAGTTAGTATTTATCAGAAAATTCAGTCTTTTCGTAGGGGTTAACCTACATATTTCAAGAAAAATCAGAAAAAAAATTTATTTTTGTTTTAATGCGTAGCTGCATCATGAACTAGCATAATAAGAGATTAAAGAGGTTTGAGAGTTTAAGTGTTCATATTTCTCCAGAAAATAGAGTTTTTATAGGGGTTAGTCCATTTTTTAGATGGTATATAAAGTTTAAATAAATGATTCATTGGGAAATTAGAAATGATGACCAAATACCATGAAAATATGTTTAGCATACATATATATAAATTTGGAGTGTGGTTAGGTATTTTTAAACAACACTAAATAGGCTAAATAGTAGATTTAGTATTTATCAAAAAATTCAGTCTTTTTGTAGGGGTTAACCTACACATTTCAAGATAAAATAGAAAAAATAATTTTTTTGTTTTAATGCGTAGCTGCACCATGAACTAGCATAGTAAGAAGATTAAAGAGGTTTGAGAGCTTAGGTGTTCCTATTTCTCTAGAAAATAGAGTTTTTATAGGGATTAGTCCATTTATTAGATGGTATATAAAGTTTAAATAAATGATTCATTGGAAAATTAGAAATGATGACCAAATACCATGAAAATATGTTTAGCATACATATATATAAATTTGGAGTGTGGTTATCTATTTTTAAACAACCTTAAATAGACTAAATAGTAGAGTTAGTATTTATCAGAAAATTCAGTCTTTTCGTAGGGGTTAAACCTACACATTTCAAGAAAAATCAGAAAAAATAATATTTTTGTTTTAATGCATAGTTGCATCATGAACTAGCATAATAAGAGATTAAAGAGGTTTGAGAGCTTAAGTGTTCCTATTTATCCAGAAAATAGAGTTTTTATTGGGGTTTGTCCATTTATTATATGGTATATAAACTTTAAATAAATTATTTATTGGGGAATTAGAAATGATGCCCAAATACCATGAAAATATGTTTATCATACATATATATAAATTCGGAGTGCGGTTAGGTATTTTTAAAAAACACTAAATAGGCTAAATAGTAGAGTTAGTATTTATCAAAAAATTTAGTCTTTTCGTAGGGGTTAACCTACACATTTCAAGAAAAAATAGAAAAAAATAATTTTTTGTTTTAATGCGTAGCTGCATCATGAACTAGCATAATAAGAAGATTAAAGAGGTTTGAGAGCTTAGGTGTTCCTATTTCTCTAGAAAATAGAGTTTTTATAAAGATTAGTCCATTTATTAGATGGTATATAAAGTTTAAATAAATGATTCATTGGGAAATTAGAAATGATGACCAAATACCATAAAAATATGTTTAGCATACATATATATAAATTTGCAGTGTGGTTAGCTATTTTTAAACAACCTTAAATAGGCTAAATAGTAGAGTTAGTATTTATCAGAAAATTCAGTCTTTTTGTAGGGGTTAACCTACACATTTCAAGAAAAGATAGAAAAAATAATATTTTTGTTTTAATGCGTAGCTGCATCATAAACTAGCATAGTAAGAAGATTAAAGAGTTTTGAGAGCTTAGGTGTTCCTATTTCTCCAGAAAATAGAGTTTTTATAGGGATTAGTCCATTTATTAGATGATATATAAAGTTTAAATAAATGATTCATTGGGAAATTAGAAATGATGACCAAATACCATGATTATATGTTTAGCATACATATATATAAATTTGGTATGTCGTTAGGTATTTTAAACAACCTTAAATAGGCTAAATAGTAGAGTTAGTATTTATCAGAAAATTCAGTCTTTTCGTAGGGGTGTTAACTTACATATTTAAAGAAAAATGAGAAAAAATAATATTCTTGTTTTAATGCGTAGCTGCATCATGAACTAGCATAGTAAGAAGATTGAAGAGGTTTGAGAGCTTAGGTGTTCCTATTTCTCCAGAAAATAGAGTTTTTATAGGGGTTAATCCATTTATTAGATGGTATATAAAGTTTAACTAAATTATTCATTGGAAAATTAGAAATGATGCCCAAATACTATGAAAATATGTTTAACATACACATATAAAAATTCGGAGTGTGGTTAGGTATTTTAAACAACACTAAATAGGCTTAATAGTAGAGTTAGTATTTATCAGAAAATTCAGTCTTTTCGTAGGGGTTGTTAACCTACACATTTCAAGAAAAATTAGAAAAACTAATATTTTTGTTTTAATGCGTAGCTGCATCATGAACTAGCATAGTAAGAAGATTGAAGAGGTTTGAGAGCTTAGGTGTTCCTATTTCTCCAGAAAATAGAGTTTTATAGAGGTTAGTCCATTTATTAGATGATATATAAAGTTTAACTAAATTATTCATTGGAAAATTAGAAATGATGCCCAAATACTATGAAAATATGTTTAGCATACACATATATAAA